AAAGACCCTATATCTCGTTCGATTTGTACGAAATTTGGCATATCGTACTGAATGAAGTCTAGAATGATGTGTGTTAAGTTTCCTGAAAATCGGGACCCCCGTAGGCGTACTTTTTTAAATAGTTTTTTAGGGCCCTCCGTAGGCGTGGATTTTATAAAAAAATATTTTTTAAGGGGTCCAACAGGAGTGCTTTTATGCCCTTCACCGCACTATGCTACAGGGTATTATGTCTTTGTGCATATGTTTGTAACAGGTAAGAGGAAACGAGATAGACACATGGTTCCTTTTGGGAATATGCATAGAATCATTTTCTATTTCGATTTATACATGTCCGTCCGTTCGTCCGGTCGTCTGTCTGTCTTCTATCCATGTTAAATTGTAAACAAAGTACAGGTCGCATTTATGATTCGAATTGGATGAAATTTGGCATACATCACTTATTTGGCCCAAGGACGAACCCTATTGAAGTTGGGAAAAATCGGTTCAGATTTTGATATAGCTCCCATATATATTTTCGTCCGATTTAATGTAAAATGGTGTACCAAAGTCCCTATATATCTTTCGATTTGCACGAAATTTGGCCCAGCGTAACGAATTGGGCTTAGAATGATGTGTGTTAAATTTCATGAAAATCGGTTAAGATTTAGTTATAGCTCCCATATATATTTTCGTCCGATTTAAGATAAATGGTTCACCAAAGACCCTATATACCTTTCGATTTGCATGGAATTTGGCAAAGCGTACTGAATAAAGCCTGCAATGATGTGTGTTAATTTTCGTGAAAATCGGTTAAGATTTATACATATAGCTTCCATATATAGTTTCGTCCGATTTAAGGTAAATGGTGTATCAAAGCCCCTATATATCTTTCGATTTGCACGAAATTTGGCATAGCGTACTGAATTGAGCCTAGAATGGTGTGTGTAAAGTCTCTTGAAAATCGGTTCAGATTTAGATATAGCTCCCATATATATTTTCGTCCGATTTTAGATAAATAGTGGACCAAAGTCCCTATATATGCTTCGATTTGAACGAAATTTGGCATAATGTTCTGAATTAAAATTAGAATGATGTGTGTTAAGATTCGTGAAAATCGCTTCCGATTTACATATAGCTCCCAAATATAACTTCGTCCGATTTAAGGTAAATGGTGTACCACAGTCCATATTTATCTTTCGATTTGCACGAAATTTGGCACAGCGTACTGAATAAAGTCTGGAATGATGAAAATCGGTTCTGATTTAGATGTAGCTCCCATATATATTTTCGTCCGATTTTAGGTAAATAGTGGACCAAAGTCCCTATATATCCTTCGATTTGAACGAAATTTGGCATAGCGTACGGAATAAAGTCTACAATGATGTGTGTTAAGTTTCGTGAAAATCGGTTCAGATTTAGATATTGCTTCCATATATATTTTCGTCCGATTTAAGGTAAATGGTGTATCAAAGCCCCTATAAATCTTTCGATTTGCACAAGATTTGGCACAGGGTAATGAATTAGGTCTTGAACGACATGTGTTAAGTTTCCTGAAAATCGGTTCAAATTTAGATATATCTCCTATATATATTTTCGTCCGATTTAATGTAAATAGTGCACCAAACTCCTAATTATTGTCCGATTAACACGAAATTTTGTACAACGTATCAAATTGAGAATTGAATGACGTTATTCGGGTTTGTTGAAATTGATGCAGATCCAGCCATAGCTTCCATATCTATTTCGAACGGGTGTCCGATTGAGATTATATTTTTAAATCATTCTAAATCTGCCCGAATAAAGACATGCGTATATTCCTTCGAGGGAACATTGGCATACAATTGTAAGGATACATATGTACAATATACCCAAGTGGTGAAGGGTATCATGTAGTCGGCCCAGTCCGACTTTACTACTTTTCCTTACTGGTTTCAATATCCAAACAACTGCATAAATTCCCAAATAAAAACTTTAATTGTCAATAACTTTTTGTTTTGTTAAATCGGCCAGTGACAGCATCGTTCACTTTCGCCGTCCTCGGGGAATACAAACGCGAATCGACAACAATTGAAAATTGATTTTATTTCACTATAAAAAATCTACTACAAAAAAAACACAACTTTACTCCTCAAGTAATAGTCAGCAAAATAATGAAAACAACAACAACAAAAATAGCGGATAGAATTAGAATTACGAACTATTCTGCCTTGAAAAGCATGGCGATTTTGTTGTTTGTTTTCATGTTTAGTTTTGTTTAACAAACTTCCACAAAATCATTGAACAATCTAACACAGCAATAACGACAACAACAACAACAACATCGACATAAACAATAGCTTTGGCGATAAACGAACTATAGTTTATGACGACTCTATTAAAAAAAAACTGAGTTTTGAAGGATGACGAAACTGTAACAAAATATTTAATAGACTGGCTGCTAGCTTCTACTGGCTTCCTCCTCTTCCTCTCCGCCCTTGCTCACTAAGTCTTCCTCTTTCACATTGTTGTTGTTGTTGTTGATGTTACTGGGATTTACTTTGTTCGTTCAGCGCAGCACAGCATAGATCTCGTTATGATTACAACAAGTTCGAAACTTTTTCTATTTTGGCAGGGTGAGAGTTTATTTAATTTTTGTAGTTTGAGTTGTTAGCAGCGGGATGGACATTGACAACAAGAACAGCAAAACGGAAATGAAAAATATTTCAAAATTTTTTTAATTAAATGAAAATTTGTTTGTAACCTCAAATTTAAAAAAAAAAATAGAAAAACAATTATGTTAAAAAATCCACACCTATCGAGGCCCTATACACATTAATTAAAAAAATCCACGACCTTAAAAATATATTTTAAACCCAGTAAGGAAAGTTCAAAAGTCAGACTTTTTAGGACCATTGAAATGAAATCGGGCGAAATTTTGTCCCAATCGGACAAATATTGGGAGTGTGGTGTATCATTCACAAAAAATCGGACGAAACTATGTATGGGAGCTACATCTAAATCTGAACCGAATCCAACAAAACTTCGCAGACATCAGTCTGGACCAAATATTAGGAGTTTGGTGTATCATTTACATAAAATCGGACGAAACTATATATGGGAGCTATACCTAAATCTGAACCGATTTTAGCAAAACTTCGCAGACATCAGTCTGGACCTAATTCAGAGCGCTGTGCAAAATTTTGTCCCAATCGGACAAATATTGGGAGATTGGTGCATCATTCACAAAAAATCGGACAAAACTATATACGGGAGCTATATCTAAATCTGAAACGATTTTAACAAAACTTCGCAGACATAAGTATAGACCTAATTCAGTGCGCTGTGTAAAATTTTGTCCCAATCGAACAAATATTGGGAGTGCATCATTTACATAAAATCGGACGAAACTATATATGGGAGCTATATCTAAATCGGAACCGATTTTCACGAAACTTTACATACATCATTCTAGACTTTATTCAGTACGTTATGCTAAATTTCGTGCAAATCGAAAGATATATAGGGACTATAGTACGCCATTTACTTTAAATCGGACGAAAATATATATGGGAGCTATATCTAAATCTGAACCGATTTTCACGAAACTTAACACACATCATTCTAGACTTAATTCAGTGTGATATGTTATATTTCGTGCAAATCGAAAGATATATAGGGACTTTGATTCACTACTTGCCTAAAATCGGGCGAAACTATATACGGGAGCTATATCTAAATCTGAACCGATTTTCATGAAACTTATCACACATCAATCTAGACCTTATTCATTACGCTGTGCCAAATTTCGTGCAAATCGAAAGATATATAGGGACTTTACTTGACTACTTGCCTAAAATCGGGCGAAACTATATATGGGAGCTATATCTAAATCTGAACCGATTTTCACGAAACTTTGCACACATCATTCTAAACTTAATTCAGTACGCTATGCCAAATTTCGTGCAAGTCGAAGAATATAAAGGGTCTTGGGTGCACCATTTACATTAAATCGGACGAAAATATATATGGGAGCTATATCTAGATCTGAACCATTTTTCATGAAACTCAGCACATATCATTCCAGACTCAATTCAGTACGCTTTGCCAAATTTCGTGCAAATCGAAAGATATATAGAGACTTTGGTGCACCATTTACCTTGAATCGGACAAAAAAAATATATGGGAGCTATATCTAAATCTGAACCGATTTTCTCCAATTACAATAAGATTCGTCCTTGGGCAAAATAAGTGAACTGTGCCAAATTTCATCCAAATCGGATCATTTATGATCTGTACTTTGTTAACTACCTGTACTTTGTTAACAAAAATATATGGACGGACGGGCGGATGGAGAGATGGACGGACGACATGCGTAAATCGACTCAGAAAGTGATTCTATGCGTATTCTCAAAATGAACCATGGGTCTATCTCGATTCCTTTTGCCAGTTACAATCATATGCACAAAGACATAATATCCAGTAGCACAGTGTGGTGAAAGGTATAAAAATCCACGCCTTCGGTAGACCTTGAACAAATATTTTTTAAACAATTCACGCCTATTGAAGACCCTGAAAAATAATTTTTAACAAATCGGACGGACATGCGTAAATCGACTCAGAAAGTGATTCTATGCATATTCCCAAAAGGAACCATGAGTCCATCTCGATTCCTTTTGCCTGTTACAAACATATGCACAAAGACATAACATCCTGTATCCTGTACCACCACATCCTGTACCACGCCTTAGGTAGACCTTGAAGAAATATTTTTAAAAAATCCACGCCTATTGAAGATTTTTTTTTTACAAATCCACCCCTTTTGAAAACCTTGAAAAATAATTTTTAAAAAATCCACCCCTTCTGAGAAACAATATTTTTAAAAATCCACGATTATTAGAGACCTTAAATAAATGTTCTCTAAAAATCTTGAATCTTGTTCGCCTTAAATTTTGTTATCGATTCCTTTTTTGCAATTGTTCTACATTTGTCTTATACTTCTTCTTAATCGTTTCTGTTTTTTCTTTCTCTTTGTTCCATTGCAGACTCTTACGTCGTGATAGCGAAGATTCATCCGTTCGATGCTCGTACTGTTCTGTACTAAATGTCAACGAGAACGATTTGAGGAGATCCTTTGAAAATACCTGCACCGATTCATTGGTAACAGCTTTTGATGATGAGGCTTTACTAATATGCGACCAAGGAAACGAAATGGCAAGGACAAAGGTTTATTTTAATTCGATTAGAGAGTAGTGGTGACACCCGGCCCACAGACACACACACACACAAACATCAAGAAACTATCATCCTTAAAAATTCACCCAATCATATGCTGGCTCACAATAAAATTCTGGTCATGTTGTTCGACAAGAACAAAAAAAAATTGAAACTAGTTGACCCGAGCAGACAGCAAACCAAACAACCTGCCAAACCAACTAAACATCATCATCATCCGCATCGACATCAATTTGTCCGACCAACCTATCCATTCGCCTACCATCCATCCATCAAATCATTCACACTTTTCAGACACAACTCATCGTCATCAATGGGCAGGCAGGCAGGCAACCTGCCAGCCATCGTGTTCGCATGCCACACCATCTAGCCGCCTGTCACACTCACTGTAGGCACTCTGAGGCCCACCCGTTCATACATTTACACGCTTACGGCTTGGTTACATATATACATAGATACCTACGTATATATCTATCTATCAATCACATCATATTTGCATGATTTATTGTTGTTATTGTTTCAATTTGTCAATAGTTTTGTATTAGTTTGTAGAAGAGAAGTCATCATCATCTGCAGCACAGTGGGCGATTTTTTAATAAAAACACTAAACAAATAATTTTTTTAAAATAGAAAATAGAAAAAGTGGAAATATTTTTTTTTTTTTTTGGCTTTAAATAATTTTTTGAAGAGCTCCCGTAGGCCTGCTATAGATTTGAGACACTTCTAGGTCCTGTTATAGTAGCAGTCTCTCCGAAGGGTCTTCTGTGTATAGGAGACCTCCCAGACCCTTTCAATGGTTTTTATGTATAGCAGATATAAGCAACACCATTCAAAAATATCTTTTCAATATATGAAATGCCTTCCAAATGCTTCCTATATATATATGAGACATTGATAGGTCCAGTTATATATGGCAGCCCCTTCCAAAGGTTCTCTATATGGTGCAGATATCCGCAACACATTTGTAGGCTACTTTTTTGTAGTTAAAACCTTTTGATTTTTAATCATTCTATTTGTTTTAATTTTCTTCTTTGGAAGTTCTCCTATATGATCTCCTATAGATATGAGATCTTTATATGCCCTGTTATAGATAGCAGCCCCTTCTAGGGGTATTCTATGTATAGCGGACATTTGCATACACTTTAAGAAGATCTCTTCGATATATATGTAGAATACCTTTTAAAGGCCTGCAAACGATAGTGAGAGATTTCTATGTCCTTTTATAGATAGCAACCCCTCCGAAGAATCTTCTATGTATAGGAGACCTTCCAGTCCCTTCCAATGGTATTTTATGTATATAAAATAACTTTTCTATGTATAGGAGACCTGCCCTATTATTGATAGCAGCCCCTTCTAAAGGTCTTCTATGTATTGCGGACATTCAACCACTTTTAGAAAAGCTCTTCGATATGTATAGAAGACCTCTTAAAGGCCTGCAAACGAACTTTACAGGTCCTGTTATAAATAGTAGCTCCTCCGAAGGGCCTTCTGTGAATAGCAGACATCCGCAACAAATTTAAAATAAATCTTCGGTATGTACTGAATACCTTCTAAAGGTTTACTATAGATGACAGTCCCTCCGAATGGTATTCTATTTATATCAAACATCTGCAACACCTTGTAGAAAAATTATTTCCATACCTATAGAAGACCTCCTATAGATATGAAACCTTTATTGATCCTTTTATAGATAACAGCCCCTTCCAGTGGTCTTCTATGCCTAGCTGAAACACCCAACAAATTTAAAGTAAATCTTCCGTATATATTGAAGGCCTCCTAAAGGCCCTCTATAGATATGAGACCTTTATAGGTCCTCCTAAAGACAGCAGACCCTTCCAAAGGTCTTCAATGAATAGCAGACATCCGCAACATCATGTAGAAAAAATTGTTCCTTACATATAGAAGACCTCTTGAAGGCCTCCTATAGATATGAAACCTTTATAGATCCTGTTATAACCCCATCAAATGGTCTTCTATGTGTAGCAAATATCCCCAACATCTTGGGGATTGTTTTCCATATATATAGAAGACCACCTAAAGGTCTTCTATATGAGACCTTTATAGATCCTGTTATAACCCCTTCCATAGGTCTTCTATGTCTAGCAGACACCCCCAACAAATTTAAAATAAATCTTCCGTATATATTAAAGTCCTCCTAAAGACCTTCTATTGATATGAGACCTTTATAGGTCCTCCTAAAGACAGCAGACCCTTCTAATGGTCTTCTATGTATAGCAGACATACCCAACACCTTGTATAAAAAAATCCCATACATATATAAGACCTCTAAAAGGCCTCCTATAGATATGTGACCTTTATAGGTCCTGTTATAGATAACAACCCCTTCCAGTGGTCTTCTATGCCTAGCAGACATGCCCAACAAATCTTCCGTATATATTGAAGACCTCCTAAAGGCCTTCTATAGATATGAGACCTTTATACGTCCTCCTAAAGATAGCAGATCCTTCTAATGGTCTTCTGTGAATAGCAGACATCCGCAACACTATGTAGATAAAATTTTCCATACATACAGAATACCTCTTGAAGGCCTCCTATAGATATGGAGACCTTTATAGGTCCTGTTATAGGTAACAGCCTCTTCCAATGGTCTTCTATGTCTAGCAGATACCCCTAACAAATTTAAAATAAATCTTCCGCATATATCGAAGACCTCTTAAAGGTCTCCTCTAGATATGATAACTTTATAGGTTCTCCTATAGGTTTATAGGTTCTCCCTCCAAATGTTCTTCTATGTATAGCAGACATCCGTAACACATTTTAGAAAAATCTCCTCCATACATAAAAGACCCCATAAAGGGCTCCTAGAGACCTTTCTGGGTCCTCCTATAGATATCATCTCCTGCATTAAACTTCAATATATAACAAGGCATCCTTCACACCCTTGTAGCCGCTTTGTGTAGTTTGTACGCATTTGATTTTCTTATACATTCTATTTATTTTTCCCTCTTTTTCTTCCCCCTTCCATCTCTTATCTTCACCACAGGTTCACTTTGATGACGTATCGTTGTACGGGACTCCGAAAGAGGAGCCAATGCCTTCCATCCCCATTGTTTCGGAAAAAGTTTCAGCGAACTTCTTAAAGAGTCAATTGCAATCATGGTTTCAACCGACCGACAATCGGTTGGCTATGAAATTATTTGGCAGCCGCAAGGCATTGGTCAAAGAAAGAATACGCCAGAAGACTTCCGGACATTGGGTTATTCACCCATGCAGTTCATTCAGGTAAGAAGAATTAAAAAATAATAATTAAAAAAATAGACAAATTAATAAAAAAAATAAGTCAAAAGGTCTCAGTACTCAACACCCTTAACCGGTGACATACGAAGTGTACATAGATCCTAAAATCGGAATGCTATTTTGTGACAGTTAATGAAGGTCTAAGAAATCGGTATCTAGTACCGAAGACGCACATTTGTTATTAAAATTATAAAGAAATTTATATCAAAATTGCAAGGGCATTAAAACATCGTTAAGTTCGGTCGGACCGACATTTTAATAACCTCCACCATGAGGTGGTATTTAAACTACCTAAAAAGAGATCGGAACTTTTATATATGGGTATAGGGAGATTTGCTACCCTGAGAGAACCAAATAAACCAATTTAGCTATAAATTGATTGAAAACCGAACCCAATCTCCCTAAATATATAGCTACCCTAAAAAGTGAACCAATATTAATGATTTTTGATAGTTAGATGTCCTACCCTATGAGTACCCAAAATACCAAATTACAGCCAATTCGGTTAATAATCGAACCCAATCTCCCAAAAATATCGAAATTTTGAGGGTCCTGTTATATGGTAGCTAATCTTAAAATTGGACATATATTGGCAATTTTTGGTAGGGAGATTTGCTGCCATATGAGAACCAAATATACCAATTTATAGCCAAATCCGTTGAAAACCGAACTCAAAACCCGCACAATACCGAAAATCTGAGGGTACTGTTATATTGTAGATACAATATAAAGTTGATCAATATTAATTATTGTTGGTAGTGAGATTTCCTACCCTATGAGAACACTAAATACTAAATTACATCCAATTCGATTGAGAACCGTTCCTAAAATACCTAATTTTTTAGGGTTCCGTTATGGTAGCTACCCTAAAAAGTGAACCAATATTGATGGTTTTTGGTAAGGAGAATCTAAAATATCAAATTTCAGACAAATCGGTTGAAAAACGTGCTCAAGCTCCCTAAATTATAGAAATTTCGGAGATATAGCATATGGCAAAAATGAGCCAATCTTGATCATTTTTGATAAGGAGATTTGCTACCCTACGACAACCTAAAATACCAAATTCGAGACAAATCGGTTGAAAAACATGCTCAAGCTCCCTAAATTATAGAAATTTCGGAGATACCGCAATATGGCAGCTACCCTTAAAAATGAGCCAATCTTGATAATTTTTGATAAGGACATTTGCTACCCTATGACAACCCAAAATACCAAATTCGAGACAAATCGGTTGATAAATATGCTCAAGCTCCCTAAATTATCGAAATTCCGAGGTAACGCTATATGGCAGCTACCCTTAAAAGCGAACCAATATTGATAATTTTTTGTACGTCGATTTGGTACCCAATGAGAACCTAAAATACAAAATTGCAGCCAATTTGGTTTAAAAACGTATCCAAGCTCCCCAAAATGTCAAATATAGAGGTGCCTTTATATGACAGCTACCCCTTAACTGGAGCCAATATTAATCATTTTTGGTAGGGATACTTGCTACCCCATGAAAACCCAAAATACCAGATTACAGCCAATTCGGTTGAAAGGCATGTCCAAGCTCCCCAAAATACCGAAATATAGAGGTGCCTTTAATGGCAGCTACCCTTTACCTTGAGCCAATATTGAAAATTTTTGGTAGGGAGGTTTCCTATCTTACGAGAACCTAAATTACCAAATTCCAAGCAATTCGGTTAAAAAACATGTCAAAAGTCCATAAAATTTCTGAGGTGTCAGTATGGTAGCTACCGTATAAAGTGTAACAATTTTGATAATTTTGGGTGGGCGAATTTTCTGCCTTTTGAGAAACCAAAATATCAGTTTTCAGCCAATATGGTTGAAAAATGTGCTCAAGCTCCGCAAAACATGGGGATTTTCGGAGGTGCCGTTATGGTGGCCACCCCTTAACTTGAGCCAATATTTATAATTTTTTGTAGGGATGTTTGCTATACTCTGAGAATCTAAAATTGGGTTGAAAAATTTTCCCAAACTACTCAAAATTTTAAAATTTGGTGGTTCCGTTATATGGTAGCTGCCTTAAAAAGTTAACCTATATTAATAATTTTTGGTAGGAGGATGTGTTAACCTGGGAGAACTTAAAATACCAAATTATAGTCGATTCGGTTGAAAATCTTGGCCAAGCTCCCCAAAATATCGATATTTTTGGAGGTCCCGTTATATGATAGCTACCCCTTAACTTTGACCAATGTTGATAATTTTTGATGGGGAGTTTTTTTAACCTATGAGAACCTAAATTACCAAATTCCAGACAATTCGGTTGAAAAATGTGCCCAAGCTCCTCCCCAAAATATAGAAATTTGGGGGTTCCGTATAGGGTATCTACCTTAAAATGTGAACCTATATTAATACTTTTTGGTAGGGAGATTTACTAACCAGGAGAACTTAAATTACCAAATTCCAGACAATTCGGTTGAAAATTGTGCCCAAGCTAACCAAAATATCGATATTTTTGGAAGTGCCGTTATGGTAGCTACCCCTTAACTTTGGCCAATGTTGATAATTTTTTGGTAGCGAGATTTGCTACCCTATGAGAACCGAAAATAAAAAAATACACACAATTCGGTAAAAAAAAATCTTCCAAATACCGAAATTTGGGGGTTCCGTTATGGGGTAGCTACCTTAAAATGTAAACCTATATTAATAATTTTTGGTAGGGAGATTTACTAACCAAGGAGAACTTAAATTACCAAATTCCAGACAATTCGGTTGAAAATTGTGCCCAAGCCCCCCAAAATATCGATATTTTTGAAGGTGCCGTTATGGTAGCTATCCCTTAACTTGGACCAATATTGATAATTTTTGGTAGGGAGATTTGTTACCCTCTGAGAACCTAAATTACCAAATTCCAGACAATTCGTTTGAAAAACATGACCAAATTCTTCAAAATATCGAAATGTTGGGGTTCCGTTATGTGATAGCTACCTTAAAAAGTGAACATATATGAATAATTTTTAGTAGGAGGATTTACTAACCTATGAGAACCCAAAATACCAAATTTCAATCAATTCGGTTGAAAATCGCACCCAAGCCCATCAAAATGACGATATTTTTGGAGGTGCCGTAATGGTAGCTACCCCTTAACTTGGGCCAATATTGATGATTTTTTGCAGGACGATTTTTTTACCCATAGAGAACCTAAAATATTAAATTGAAGTCAATTTGGTTGAAAAATGCGACCAAAATAATTAAATTTTGAGAGGTGCCGTTATGGTAGCTACCCTAAAAAATCGACCGATTTTGATAATTTCTGGTAGGAAGATTTTTCTACCATAGGAGAAGAACCGAAATTATTATTTTTTTTATTTTATTTTTGAAATTAATCCTTAAAATTTGTTCTTCCTCTTCTTCCTGACAGGTTTTATTGGGACCTTTGTATGCTTTTATTATTAGTAGCAAATCTTATTATCCTGCCAGTCGCAATATCATTCTTCAACGATGATCTAAGCACAAGATGGATTGCCTTTAACTGCCTAAGTGATACTATTTTTTTAATAGATATTGTAGTCAATTTTAGAACAGGTAAGAAATCTCCACACACACACCCCTAACCCCCTCTCATCGATCAATCAATCCTCCATTATATCAACTTCATCACCTCTGTACCTATACCCACCCACCCTAGGAATTATGCAACAAGACAACGCCGAACAGGTGATATTGGATCCCAAGCTTATAGCCAAACATTATTTAAGGACCTGGTTTTTTCTTGATTTAATCTCATCGATACCGCTCGACTATATCTTTTTGATTTTCAATCAGGTATGTAGGTTGATAAAACAGATCGCATGTCTTTAATTAAGATTATGAAATTGCAGGACTTCTCCGATTCATTTCAAATTCTACATGCCGGTCGTGCCCTACGAATATTACGCTTAGCTAAGCTTCTATCGCTTGTGCGATTGTTGCGTCTGTCGCGTCTCGTGCGCTATGTGTCGCAATGGGAGGAGGTGTATGTAAGTATTAAAAAAGCAATTTCTCAAAAAAAAAACTCCAACAACAATTTTTTATTCTACTCTAATCTGATTTTGAAATTATTATTATTTAAAACTTAAAAGTAATTAATTAATTATATCTCAACAACAACTATTAGTATTTATATATTTAATCGTAACCTTATTAACTACCTATATATTTTTTATGAAAAAAAATTAAATACTATCCATTTCTTTAAATTAATGTCCTCCCTCCCTCTCTCTTTAATTAATTTATTAATTAAATTTAATTAAATTACCATTAAGTGTTATTGTGTCTGAATTTCTTAATTTTATTTATTTCTGTTTTATTTCTCCTTGAGTGTTCTATCGATATTTGTATTAAAATATAATTATAAACATTTCTATATAAAATATTAGGATGATAATATTTGTCATAATAATGACGATAATTATTAAAAATTAAAAAAAAAATTAAATCAGATGGCAACAATGTTGATGATGATGAGAATTATTTTTTTTTTCAAATAGTTTTGCATTTTTTTGGGTGTCATTTTTTTAGTTTACCACCCCTTAGTGAAATAATCAACCCCTTCCCTCAGAAAAAATACAGTCGAATACAGTTATAAAAATATTTAACAAGTGAAAAAGCGTTAAGTTCGATACCCTCCACCATAGATATACTGACAGGTACTTGAAATAAAAATATAGAGAACATACCAAAAAAGTGTACCTATACAGACATTTCTACAAACCGGTTATGGTCCTAAATATTGGTCCTAGACCCCATGTTTCTTTGGACAAAATTTGTTTCCAAAAAATTTTTGATTTCATCCACACTTTGCACATCTTATTATTTCTAACGAAATTAATGCAGCGAATTCGGTTGAAAAACGCGCTCAAGAACCCCAAAATACCGAAATTTGAGGGTACCCTTAAAAAAAATGGACCTATATTTATATTTTTATACCCTTCACCACACTGTGGTACAGGGTATTATGTCTTTGTGCATATGTTTGTAACAGGCAAAAGGAAACGAGATTGACCCATATATCCTTTTGAGAATATGCATAGAATCACTTTCTGAGTCGATTTATGCATGTCCGTCCGTCCGTCCGTCCGTCTGTCCGTCTGTTGGTGTTAAATTGTAAACAAAGTACAGGTCGCATTTATTATCCGATTTAGATGAAATTTGGCATAGGTCACTTATTCGGCCCAAGGACGAACCCTATTGAAATTGGGAAAAATCGGTTCAGATTTAGATATAGCTCCCATATATATATATATATTTAACCGATTTAATGTAAACGGTCCCTATATAACTTTCGATTTGCACGAAATTTGGTACAGCCTAATTAATTAGGTCTAGAATGATGTCTGCCAAGTTTCGTGAAAATCGGTCCAGATTTAGATATAGCTCCCATATATAGTTTCGTCCGATTTCAGGTAAATGGTGCTCCAAAGTCCCTATATATCTTTCGATTTGCACCAAATTTGGCATGACGTACTGAATTGAGCATAGAATTATGTCTGCCAAGTTTCGAGAAAATCGGTCCAGATTTAGATATAGCTCCCATGTATAGTTTCGTCCGATTTCATGTAAATGGTGGACCAAAGTCGCTATATATCTTTCGATTTGCACGAAATTTGGCATAACGTACTGAATTGAGCCTTGAATGATGTCTGCCAAGTTTCGAAAAAATCGGTCCAGATTTAGATATAGCTCCCATATATAGATTCGTCCGATTTCATGTAAATGGTGGACCAAAGTCGCTATATATCTTTCGATTTGCACGAAATTTGGTACAGCCTAATCAATTAGGTCTAGAATGATGTCTGCCAAGTTTCGTGAAAATCGGTTCAGATTTAGATATAGCTCCCATATATAGTTTCGTCCGATTTCATGTAAATGGTGCCCCAAAGTCCTTATATATCTTTCGATTTGCACCAAATTTGGCATAACGTACTGAATTGAGCCTAGAATTATGTCTGCCAAGTTTCGAGAAACTCGGTCCAGATTTAGATATAGCTCCCATATATAGTTTCGTCTGATTTCATGTAAATGGTGGACCAAAGTCGCTATATATCTTTCGATTTGCACGAAATTTGACAGACATAGCCCAACGGATGACCTATTTATATTTGTTTGAAGTCGATTTACATACTTTATGGATAGATCTAGGTAGATTCACATTTAGATAAATATCTCATATTTTATTTCATCCAATTTCATGTTAATAGTCCTGTTTAATATACCCATAGTGATGAAGGGTATCATATAGTCGGCCCCGTCCGACTTTACTACTTTCCTTACTGGGTTTTTTTTTGTGGATCGATTTGAAACCTATTACGAACTCAAAATACTAAATTACAGCCAATTCGGTGAAAAACTACGATCATAACCCCCACAATACTGAAAATTAGGAGGTACCGTTATATGGACCTATATTTATAATTTTTTTGTGGAGTCATTTAGTACCCAATAAGAACTCAATGTACCAATGTATTCGGTTGAAAAACCCGCTCAAGAACCCCAAAATACCGAAATTTGGGGGTACCCTGATATGGGGGGCTATCCGAAAAATGGACCTATACTTATAATTTTTTGTGGAGCGATTTGAAACCTATTACGAACTCAATATATTAAATTACAGCCAATTTGGTGAAAAAATACCATAAAAACCCCAAAAAAAAACAGAAAATTAGTGGCGGTTACCAGAAAAAGTGGACCTATATTTATAATTTTTTTGTGGAGACATTTAGTGCTCAATAAGAACTCAATGTACCAAATTTCAGCGTATTCGATCGAAAAAAACGCCCTCAAGAATCCCAAAATACCGAAAATTGGGGGGTACTGTTATATGGAAGCTATGCCTAAACGTGGACCGATATATCCCACCTTTTTCAGCACCCTATCTCAATTCCTTCAGACTGCGTTTTTCAACACCACTCCTCAGATCGGGTCCTACTCCAAACAAAAACCGGGTTTCCACGACTTTTGGTCGTTACAATAAGTTATATTTAAGGTTCTCTGTAGGTGAGGTTTAAGGTTCTCTGTAGGTGAGGTTTTATTTTAAATATTTTTCTAGATCTTCCATAGGTGTGAATTTTTAAAATAATATTTTTTAAGGTGTTCTTAAATGAAATTGCTTCAAATTCCTCCGAAATTTGTTCAAATTTGGGTTGTTAATTGTTCTGGCAAATTGTTCAGAAAATATAATTTTCAAAAGAATGAATTCAGAAACGGTTGTCCCATAAGCCGGGCTTAAAAAATATTTCCAGGCGCATCGGCCTTGGACGCATTTCATCCGCTTTGAAAGACCATTTTCTCAGATTTTGTCATCTACATGATGTTTCCATCGGATTCGTGGCCTTCCCGTTCTGCGTGAACCATCACTTGGCTCTCATTTATATGCCTTTTGAGCTGGGGCATCTTCATCTATTCTCACAACATGGCCTAGCCAACGTAGTCGCTGCAGCTCGATACGTCTGACTATGTATATGTCAGCGAATATATGGTATAGCTCAGGGTTCATTTGACGCCAATATTCACCGTCGACGCAGATTGGCTCATAGTTCTTCCGGAGAATTTTTTCTTTCAAACACTTCATGAGCTGACTCGTTTGCTTGCGCAAGTACCCATGCTTCAGATCCATACAACAGCACGGGTAATATCAGCGTCTTGTAGTGTGTGAGTTTGACCTTGCTTTTGAGTTGCTGACTTAGACCATAGTAGCATGTGTTGGCCAATACCAATTCTCCTCCGGATGTCACGGCTGATGTTATTAGTTTTCTTTATGGCGGTACCGAGGTATATATATAATCTTTCACTACCTCGAAGTTGTAGTTTTCAAGTTCCACAGTTGGTCCAATACTACTGAACGTCTTGCGCGTTGATCATCATCAGCTTGGTCTTTTCGCCATTTACTACCAGCCCACTTTGGCAGGCTCCTTTCCCAGTTCAAAGGTGGCTGCTAACGCTCGAAATGTTTGACCCATTATGTCGATGTCGTCGGCGTAGGCGTGTAGCATATGCTGTTTGGTGTACAGAATGTCATTGGTTCACATTTGCATTTCGTATAACCTTTTCCAGCAGGAAGTTAAACAGGTCACATGACAATCTGTCACCTTGTCTGAATTCTTATTCGGTATTGAAGGGCTCCGAAAAGTCCTTTCCGACTTTAACTGCTGACCAGTTAAAGTTATCCTGCATAGCCATAGGACTTTAAACACCTCTGAACGGATAGGGCTGTCGAGGGCAGTTTTATAGTCGACGAGTAGGTGGAATGTATCGCAGAGTGAAAATCTGGCCAATTGTGGATTTGCCAGGTCTGAAGCCACATTGGTATGGTCCAATAATGTCATTGACCATTGACTTCAGTCGTTCACAGAACACGCTGAATAGCACTTTATATGCGATGGAAAGGAGACCTTCTCCTGAGAAATGTAAAAAAGTAGGACCTTTATAGCTGTATTCGACTGTTTATATTTCTAAGCTGCCATATCCTCGAATTTTAATAACAAAAAAAAAATACTAAGCTTTTTATATTTTCCTCTTCGGATTTCCTTTCTTCGTAATTTTCTCTTTTTTTTTTTTGTTTTTGTTTTGTGTTTTCCTTACTATTTTCAATTATTATTGTTGTTAGCAATATGTTTTCCGTCTATCTCGTCGTCGTTGTTGTTGTCGCAAAGTATTTTTTTTCACTTCGTCTTCAGTTTCCCTTACTTGCTCCTCCCTTCACTCGCCCGCTCGCTCTCTTCCCCTCTGTCTTTGCTGTGGCTATTTTTTATGATAAATTAACGAAGAAAAAAATCGTTAAATTAAATACTTCATTACCGAACTAATGACTGAGGGAATGAACGACGAACCGAATCGAACCGAAGCTCACCAATTGTAGTCGTCAAAATTATGATAATAATAAAAATAATAGTAACGGTAATAATAATAAAAAATAATAAAACGAAACCGAATTCCAGAATTCAAAATCACATCATGCCCATGGTCACTCCAGTGAGTAAGT